CTCCTCCTCCTCCTCCTCCTCCTCCTCCTCCTCCTCCTCCTCCTCCTCCTCCTCCTAGACTCAACCTTGCGGCCAGGTTCAATCCTAGCCACCAGCCCGCGGGGGGCCTGGCCTCCACCTGAGGAGACCAGGACCCCCCGACCGTGAAGTCGAAGCAGTCGACCTCACGCAAGCACGACGGCCAACACGCCGACGTGCTCCGCGATGTGCAGGAAGGGGGGGGCAACGGCGGGCCAGCGCGCGAAGCGGCTGGGCCCTCACCGTTTCCCACGCAAACCCCTCCCTGCGCCGGAGCCGCGCCCAGCACCAGCGCCGCAGCCCAGCGTCGCCGTCGAGCGCTCGAGGGCGGCGATCTGCGCGATCAGCTTGCCACGGTCGGACGGCACGGTCCCCCCGTCACAGCCCATGCGCGCGAAGAGGGCAGCGGCGCGGGCCTGCAGCTCCGCGATCGACGCCTCGGACGAGGTCACGGCCTCGGCTCCGCCAGCCGCAGCCGCTGCACCAGCAGCCGCCGCGGGCTCCGCTGAAGCCCCACCTCCATCCGCACGATGAGGAAGGGCGAGCGCGGCCGAGGGGGCGGCGGAGCGCCCACCATCGGCCCACGAGTCGTCCACCATGCCATCGTCGTCGTCAAGGGCCGCACCGGCGCCCGCGCCCGCAGCACCAGCGGCGGGGGGCGCGTCTGCGGCTCGCCGCGCCGCGAGGCGGCGGCGGCGGCGTCGCCGCCGATCCGCCTTGGCGGCGGCGGCAGCGGTCGGAGCACCAGGCTCCGTGGCGTCTCCAGGTGCGCCAGGCCCAGCGCCACGCGCGGCAGGCGGCGCAGCAGCAGCGGAAGCTGCCGCCGCGACCGCGGCGCGCACGACGGTGGCCAGCGAACGGTGCGACGCCTTGGCCTCGACGGCCGCCCGCACGGCGGCGCCCACCAGCAAGGCAGCGTCGGAGCCAGACAGCAGCCCCATCCCACGACCGAGACGCGCGCGGCCGAGCCCCGCGCAAGCACCTCGAGTCAAATGAGTACGGATGCCCAAACCCCACGAGATCCCCGAGGAGGGACGTGGGGCTTGAGCCAAAATGGCTTGAGCCAAAATGGCTACGGACCTCCTCCTCCTCCTCCTCCTCCTCCTCCTCCTCCTCCTCCTCCTCCTCCTCCTCCTCCTCCTCCTCCTCCTCCTCCTCCTCCTCCCCCTCCCCCTCCTCCTCCTCCTCGGCTGCGCGCAGGAGCGGCCCCGGGCAAGGCTGGCGTGTGTTATAAAGCGCGCCTTCGGGGGGGCACGGGGCCTGTAGACATCCGTGGGCCCGATTTTTGTTGGAGTCGCGGGCGCCTGTCATTGAGGTCCTGCCGGCCCTGGCGTTGCAATGTTTTCACAAAGGGCGTTTTAGCTCAATTTCGGGCCCTGGGACCCTCACAAATCGGTCCGGCTCGAAAAGTGAGGCAGAAAGATGCGGTCCGGGGCTCTGGGCGTGATTTTTGGCGATGTTGCACTTTTGGTTTGCAACGTCGGATCTCAGGGGTCGGCAGCGCGCAAACAGGGGCACAGGGAAGGGGGGGCGGCTTCTTAGAAGCACCCTGCTTCTCAGAAGGCGCCAGCCTTACATCTGTAGCTAAGGCCAGCGCCCTCTGAGAAGCAGAGGTGCTTCTAAGAAGCCTTCCCCCCTCCCTACTACCCCCCTCTGCGCGGGGCGCTGACCCTGACCTCTCGACCACTTCTCCAGGGCCGGCTCTTCCTCGCGAGTCGTATTTTTTACGGCCCCGGAGCTCGGTTATGAGGGCCCCGATGGGGCCGAGAAAACTATAAGCAAAAACCGCCGTCTCGATTTGTTCTCGAGGCGCAAGGGGAGGGGCTCAGCCCCAGCGCGCAGTCCGCTGTCATCGCATCGCGTCCCGCGCCTTGGAGGTCCCAACGGGTCCGCACCAGAGGCCGCTCCGGCGAAGGGCCGCTGTTACGCCCAGGGCTGACCTGACCATCGTTCGCGGACACTGGTTCCCGAACCGTTTGCGAACCCTTCGATTTGAATCTCTATGTGAAATATAGTTCTCGTGTTCGGTGGAAGATACAGGGTACGAATGTGTAATGAACACCTTCAACATACTCGATTGTACGGTTGACCAGATCAATTCTCCGAACGCCATCATGACAACCCGATGATTGTCTTTCTGAATCTTTGGTTCTCCTCAACCGAGCGGCCATGAACAAGGCCCTTTGAGGCCCTGGAGTTCGCGAACAGATGGCTCTGAACTGCTGGTGAACAGTTTGCGAACATCCGAACAGGAACATGCATAATCCACCCTCCCGAACGCAAAGTTATGCGGCGAGCGAGGGGGGGAAGTGCGAAGGAGGAGGCCCTCTCGGAAGGCGGAGGGGCTTCTCAAAAGGCCTCGCGCCTTCTGGGAAATCGTCTGTGCCTTCGCGGACGGCTGAGAAAAACTCTCAGAAGGCCGGGGGGGGGCTTCCGAGCCTTCTGGGAAGGCCCGCCCCTTCTCACTTCTTCCCCCCGGGCTCGCCGCCGAAAGATGTGCATATTTCCCACCTGGTGTGTTCCCTCAACCCACCTTCGGATATAAACCCTCCCCTCGAACTGCACGACCCCGACCGCTGCCCCAGGCTTCCGACGCCTCGACTTGCTCGAGACACGGGCCACCGACCTCTCCACAACTTCCCCGGGACCAGCTTTCCACCGCGAGACGGTCCCGAGGCCCGGTGAGGGCCCCAAGGAGGAAGAACAATGAGGAGGAGGAGGAGGAGGAGGAGGAGGAGGAGGAGGAGGAGGGAGAGAGAGGGAGGAGGAGTAGAGGAGGATGAGGATGAGGAGAGGAGAGGAGGAGGAGGAGGAGGACGAGGTAGTCGGATGAGGAGGAGGAGGAGGAGGAGAAGGCGAAGGAGAAGGATGAGGGAGATGAGGGAGAGAAGGGGGAGGAGGAGGAGGAGGAGGAGGAGGAGGAGGAGGAGGAGGAGGAGGAGGAGGAGGAGGAGGAGGAGGAGGAGGAGGAGAACGAGGAGGAGGGCTCCCTTCGATTTATTTTGACTTCTTGCCGAGACGCCCGACGCATGGGACGGCCCGCCCGCGCCGCCCGCGTCGGCCGCCGATCGGGCACCGTCGCGGACCCTCCGCCCGTAAGGTTAGGTCGGGCTTGTCGACCTACAGGGGGATTTTGAACGGCAAATTAAAAAATATAGAAACATATCCAAAAATGGCCGAAACATACTACATCAAAAATCGTCCCCAGACTATTTTTCACTGTTTTTACCTAACAGCGAAGACTGATAGGTTTCTAGTGGTCTTAAAAAAGAGCAGCAGATGACTCCACAGGGGGGTCTGGGCGGGTGCCGGACAGGGTGCCGCAGAAGTCGTTTTAAGCCAACAGTCACACACTTCGTGCTCTTCGACCTCCCAGAACTCCATTCCCGGGCCACATTCTGAATGCCCGGAGCCAACTGTAGGCCACTTCGTGCTCTTCGACTTCCCAGAACTCCATTCCCGGGCCACCTTTTGAATGCCCGGAGCCAACTGTAGGCCACTTCGTGCTCTTCGACTTCCCAGAACTCCATTCCCGGGCCACATTTTGTCTTCGAGTTCCCAGAAATCCATTCCCGGGCCACATTTTGAATGCTGAGGCAGGCTGAGGCTGAGGCTGAGGCAGGCTGAGGCTGAGGCAGGCTGAGGCTGAGGCCGAGGCTGAAGGCAGACTGAGGCTGAGGCTGATGCAGGCTGAGGCTGAGGCTGAGGCAGGCTGAGGCTGAGGCTGAGGCTGAGGCAGAGGCTGAGGCAGGCTGATGCTGAGGCAGGCTGAGGCTGAGGCTGAGGCTGATGCAGGCTGAGGCTGAGGCAGGCTGAGGCTGAGGCCGAGGCTGAAGGCAGACTGAGGCTGAGGCTGAAGCAGGCTGAGGCTGAGGCTGAGGCAGGCTGAGGCTGAGGCTGAGGCTGAGGCAGGCTGATGCTGAGGCAGGCTTAGGCTGAGGCTGAGGCTGATGCAGGCTGAGGCTGAGGCAGCCTGAGGCTGACGCCGAGGCTGAAGGCAGACTGAGGCTGAGGCTGAAGCAGGCTGAGGCTGAGGCTGAGGCAGGCTGAGGCTGAGGCAGGCTGAGGCTGAGGCAGGCTGAGGCTGAGGCTGAGGCTCAGGCTGAGGATGAGGCAGGCTGAGGCAGACGCTGAGGCAGGCTGAGGCTGAGGCTGAGGCAGGCTTTGGCTGAGGCTGAGGCTGAGGCAGGCTGAGGCTGAGGCTGATGCAGGCTGAGCCTGAGGCAGGCTGAGGCTGAGGCTGAGGCTGAGGCTGAGGCTAGAGAGGAATCTCAGAAAGATGCTGAGGCAGGCTGAGGCAGACGCTGATGGCCGCTGATGTGAGTGCGATGCTGAGGCCGAGGCTGAGGCTGAAGCAGCTGAGGCAGAGAGCTGGCTGAGTGCTGAGCCGACTGAAGCATGACTGATGCTGAGGCTGAAGCAGCTGAGGCTGAGTGCCGAGCCCGAGCGACCCCACTACTGGCAGCTGAAATGCTGAGAAAAGGTTGAGGCTGATGCTGAGGGAGGCTGAAGGCAAGAGGCTGAGGCTGGCTGAGGCTGAGGCAGAGGCAGGCTGCATGCGGAGGCAGCTGAGGCTGAGGCTGAGCTAGATGCTGAAGCAGGCTGAGCGAAGGCAGTCTGAAGCAGAGGCCGAGGTGAAGGCCAATAAGGCTGAGGGCTGAGGCGGAGGCTGGAATCAGTGCTAGATGCCTGAGGCTGAGGCAGGATGAGGCTTAGGCTATGGTAGTCTATACAGAGGCAGGCTGAGGCTGAGGCTGTGACTGTGACTGCCGTTGCCACTGCGACTGTCATCGCGAATGCGACTGCGACTGCGAGAACAGGAGAATTCTACAACTGGATTCTCATCTGGATTTTAAGGGGAATGTTTCCATAGATGCTTCTACACATCGCTGTTAGGTTGCTTTGCCGGGATAATTTGAATATTCCTCCTGTAGAGGGACAGGCCCGACTTCAACTTAAGGGATCGCCCCCGAGCGCCCCGCCGAGGCCAGGCCGCCAGCGCCCACGTCGGCCTTGCCGGCGGCGCCGCCGCTGCCGGCCTCGGGAGCGGCCCGCCGCCGCGGGTCCCAGGACGAAGGTGTCTCGTCCTCCTCCTCCCCCACCTCCTCCTCCTCCTCCTCCTCCTCCTCCTCCTCCTCCTCCTCCTCCTCCTCCACAAGGGCGCTTTCTTCACACACCTGTGCACGCATCTACCCAGACCACTACTACGACCTCAGGCACAGGATGGCGCTCTTCGACCAGCGCCCAGCCTGGGCGCCAGCGGCGGCGGCAGGAGGACCTCAGCGACCAGACCGCAGTCGACAACCACGACGAGCCGCCGCAGGAGGAACACCAGCGGGAGGAGGAGCAGCGGTGGCCAACCCGCACATAGTGGACCTCACGGCGCGCCTCACCCTCACGCTGGCGCGCGAGCAGGCCGAGCTGGCGTCGACCATCATCCAGACGTGGGAGATCAGCACGCAGAGCGGTATCGCGCAGGCGGGCTTACAGGCGGGCCAGACGTACAACGACGACGCGCAGGACGTACGACGCAGAGCAGCAGATGGAGAACAAGTGGACACGGCCTCGCTCGGCAGCCCCCACATCCGCGTGTGGACCGAAGTGGTGAACTACATGGGGCGCACGTACGACGCAGGAGCGGAGAGAGACTACCTCGAGAAGTACTACAAGGACGTCATCTTGAGTGGCAGCGCGGAGAAGGTAGCAGACGGCATCCCGATCTTCCGCGTTCGCAGGAACAAGGGCAAGGAGGGGGGCGCCACGGAGAAGTGCAGGTTCCAGTTCCAGGTGAAGGCAACGGACACGCAGCTGGAGACGATCCTCACGCGCGCCCTCCGCAAGGAGGGAGCGAGCCGCAAGATCGGGGCGGCGCCACCTGGAGCACTGGAGCGAGAACTGGGACGTCTCGTCAACAACTGAGCCAGCACGACACGGAGAGAGGAGCGGCGCATAGCGATGTGACTGAGCGGACGGTGCGGCTCTGTTCTGTCCCAGCGAGCGCGGCCCCTCAGGCCATCCCGCGAACTTTTCTCACCAGCGCACGATTCCACCAGCTGGTCAGGGAAGGCCGCCCCCCCCCCTCCTCCGCCTCCGACTGGGACTCCCGACCTTCTCCAACTCCGAGGCCCGAGCTTTCCCAACTATTTTGTCGTGCACCGACCTCCCCCGCCCCCACCCGAACCGAAGCGAAAGGGTAGGGGAAAGGGACGAGGCAGACGAGGCAGGGGAGTAGAGGAGCCAGCGAGAGGGCACTCGTAAAAGCGGGTGCTACCCTGCCCGCAGACCCCTGCGTGGGGAAGGTCGGTGCAGGTAGGGCCCGAGCGTCTCAGTGGCGCCCGCGACCCCCTTTCAGCAAAGTGACCTCAGCTAGGCCACGCAACTTTAGTAAGCAGCACAGCACGAGCGAGAGTGCAGCACCGAACCGGCCCGAGAGCTCGATCGATCGATCCTCCTCCTCCTCCTCCTCCTCCCTCCCCCTCCTCCTCCTCCTCCCTCCTCCTCCTCCTCCTCCTCCTCCTCCTTCTCTTCCTCCTCCCTCCTCCTACCTCCCTCCTCCTCCTCCTCCTCCCTCCTCCTCCCTCCTCTCCTCCGCCTTGCTCCTCCTCTTCCTCCTCCTTCCTCCTTCTGTCCCTCCTCCTCTCACCTCCCCCCCTCCCTCCTCCTCCTCCTCCTCCTCCTCCACTTCCTCCTCCCCTCCTTCCTCTTTCTTCTCCCTCCCTCCTCCTCCCTCCTCCTCCTCCTCCTCCTCCTCCTCCTCCATCCTCCTCCCCTCTCTTCCTCCTCCCTCCTCCTCCTCCTCCTCCTCCTCCTCCTCCTCCTCCTCCTCCTCCTCCTCCTCCTCCTCCTCCCCTGGTGTGAAGCTCGTGCTGATGATCTCCTCTGCCCTCTGGCGGCCACTCGGGGCCATCCAGGCACCCCTGGAACTCCCTCTGCGAGGCGCAGTTGCTGGAACGCTTCCCTGAGGCTGGAAGGTTGCCGAGGACCGACGAAAACATCCGAAGACCTCGAACCAAGCAAAACGTCCGAGAACGTCCAACGATGTTGACAAAAACGCTTGGAACTCCGCCCCCCCCAAAAAAAACGAAAATCGGGCCGGACGAAATTAGCCTGGCGAAGGACCCAACCATATGCAGTTGTGAATACCGCGATTATGAATACCATCTTCGCCCGCGCTCCCTATGTGGCCACGGCTTCCCGCCGGAGCCCGACGTGCTCAGGAACACATTCGTGGCCGTCTTCGCGGGCGCCGACGACGACGAGGACGGCGTCCCTCTGACCGAGGAGCAGAAGCAGGAGAGGGCTTTAAGGCCACGAGGGAGGAGGTGGCGTTGCACGTCGACAAGGCGGAGTACGACGCCCAGGCGCGGTTGCTGAAGCAGCACAACTATGGGGCCACGATCCTCGTGATGGGTGTGCCGCGATGGCCTGGGGCCGCCATGTGAACCCTGCCGCTGGCGCCTTCGGTGGAGCTCCCTATTGGGCCACGATCCTCGTGAGGGGCGTGCCGAAATGGCCAGAGGCCGCCATGCGAACCTTGCCACTGGCGCCTTCGATGGAGCTCCTATGGGGCCACCACCCTCGCGAGGGGTGTGCCGAAATGGCCCGGGGCCGCCGCGCGAACCCTGCCACTGGAGCCTTCGGTGAAGCTCCCTGCGCGGCCACGATCCTTGTGAGGGGCGTGCCGAAATGGCCCGAGGCCGCCATGCGAACCGTGCCACTGGGGGCCCTCGGTGGAGCTCCCTATGGGGCCACGATCCTGGTGAGGGGTGCGCCGAAATGGCCCGAGGCCGCCGTGCGAACCCTGCCACTGGGAGCCTTCGGTGGAGTTCCCTATGGGGCCACGATCCTCGTGGGGGGTGTGCCGAAATGGCCCGAGGCCGCCATGCGAAACCTACCGCAGTGGGCCTCGGTGGAGCTCCCTTTGGGGCCACGATCCTGGTGATGGGGTGTGCGGAAATGGCCCGAGACCGCCATGCGAACCTTGCCACTCACTGGCGCCCTCGGTGAAGCTCCCTATGTGGCCACGATCCTCGTGAAGGGGTGTGCCGAAATGGCCCGAGGCCGCCACGCGAACCCTGCCGCTGGCGCCTTCGCTGGAGCTCCTTATGTAGCCACGATCCTGGCGAGGGGTGTGCCGAAATGGCCAGGGGCCGCCATGTGAACCCTGCCACTGGCGCCTTCGGTGGAGCTCCCCATGGGGCCATGATCCTCGTGAGGGGTGTGCCGAAATGGCCCGAGGCCGCCATGCGAACCCTGCCGCTGGCGCCTTCGCTGGAGTTTTCTATGGGGCCACGATCCTCGTGAGGTGTGTGCCGAACTTGCCCGAGGCCGCCACGCGAACCCTGCCATTGGGGGCCTTCGGTGGAGCTCCCTATGGGGCCACGATCCTCGTGAGTGGTGTGCCGAAATTGCCCGAGGCCGCCATGCGAACCCTGCCACTGGGAGCCTTCGGTGGAGCTCATCATTGGGACACGATCCTCGTGAGGGGTGTGCCGAAATGGCCCGAGGGAGCCATGCGAACCCTGCCACTGGGGCCTTCGGTGGAGCTCCCTATGGGGCCACGAGGCGCTGTACTGGGTGGGTGAAGCGCAGGGAAGAGGGAGGAGGAGAGGAGGAGGGAGGAGGCAGCGGGAGGAAGGAGTGACGCGGGGCGCTGTCTCTTCAAAACGAGGACCCAACACCACAGGATGGTTGGGAAATGCAGGACAGGGAAACGGGGGGCTACGAAGTCTGCAGCATGCGGCTAGTTTCCGCCCCGCCGCCTGGCTTATTCCTCGATGCATGGGCGCCTTCCGGCGCCAGGAGGCGCCAGGAAAAACCATCTGCGTGAGCTAGTTCTCGGCCCTGCCCTTTGCGGTTATCCCACCCTACCCCTTGGAGGCCAAATTCTGACATTGCCCTGGTCCGAAATCCGGCTTAATCCGGCTTGATCCCGCTCAATCCCGCTTAATCGCGTTCAATCTCATTTCATAACTCACCCGTTGTTGCTATCTTGCCCTTTTCGCCCGAGCGCCTGCATCATCATCATCATCATCATCATCATCTTCTTCATCATCATCGTCATCATCATCATCACCATCATTATCATCATCAGCATCATCATCATCCTTTGCCCCTATCCCATTCATTCATTCATTCATTCATTGATTCATTCATTCATTCATTCATTCGCTCATTCACTCATTCACTCATTCACTCATTCACTCATTCATTCATTCACTCATTCACTCATTCACTCATTC